AAAAAAAAAATGTGTTTCTTGTGTAAACTGTGCTGAACTTTTGGATAAAATTCTCCCAGTGTGATGCATGAAAGTGGAAATGCCTTTAATTTATTTTATTTTTTTTTACTTTTCTTCACAAATTGTTTCTTGATTGGTGTAAAACTATAATTCATATTTTAAAGCTACTTTCAATTATTGATTCAAACAACTTAAATGAAAAGTCCTAATTATACACTATTTGTTTTGTTTTTTATTCTGTTTTCTTTTTTCTGTTTGTTTTCTTTTATAAATTGTCAACGTGTGTATGTAATTTAATTTAATTTAATTTAATTTAGTTTAATTTAATCATATTATATTATATTATATTATATCATGTACGTACACTTTCTCTGTTGACCACCAGAGGGCGCCACACTCTTATTAATGAGGAACCTAAAGGCTGCGTCCAAACGAAACCAGGACTAGAACCGGGCCAAACCTGTCTACATCTGGTGCATTTACACGGCCAGTAAAAGTTAGATAACCAGATAACTTGATAACTGAATCTGACCTTGGTTTGTGTTTACAGAACAAGAGAAATCTGATCAAAAACACCTGGTGACACGCGACAGTGAATCAGTGGAGTTTTTTTATTTGGAAGTATTTGGAAGTACAGTCAATTTTAAAATAACATTTGTTTTCTTTCCAAACCCTGCACAGGTCTGACCACCACATGGAACTGTTCACATGACATTTGAATAATCAGATTACTCCAGGAATCAGATAATGATCAGATCTTTGGTGCATGCGAACAAATAACAAATAAAAAAATCTAACCCCTCTATTACTGTTTTTCTCCGTTGGTTTGGCTCATTTTTTTAAACAGAAATGACATTCTTAAAGCTCATTTGGCCGAACAGTCTGATAGTTCTGCACAACATTACAGCTCACCAGCAAAAACTCAAATCTCTCCCAAAACTGTTCACACATGCTTCAAAACTAGATTCTTTCCCATATAAAGAGTCAGGACCATCAATCAGTGCCACTCACACTGCCAACGAAACTCTAACCATTTTATTCACTCACATAAAATCACTTCCACACATCAGAGTAAATACAAAGAAAATGTATACAGTATTCTGTACATGTACCGAATATAAACAAACAAAAAAATTATATCTAACCTGCAGTGCTGTAAATAAAGCAAATAAAGTTTCTACAGTAACATTTTCAGTGGTGGCAGTCGTCTCCCTCCCTCTGACGACTGGAAGAAACGGCACAAATGTCTCGACCATCCGCTCCCCCGTGATGTCGTCACACGCAGCGTCCACTCCATGGAGCAGGGACCTCTGATTCTGGAGCGCGATGTTCATACACTCTCCCCCTCCAAGTGAAGGAAAGAACAAAAACTCCTCAGCTGAATTGAGGAAAGGAGAGTATGATGGTAGTGGCTCCATGACCATCTTTAGATCAGTGGTGCTCAATACGTCGATCGCGATCTACCAGTCGATCGCCAAGGTCGTGTGGGTAGATCGCCGTGTCTCGTCTCGGACTCGATCGCGTTTGGACTCGGTCTTGTCTCTCACTCGAGGTCTGACACTCAACAAGTGTGATCATATTTCATTCCGGCCGCTGCTGTTGGTAATAAACTTGTAGCGGGTGCAGGAGCGTGTGGGGCGTCTCAGTGCAGCCTGTGCGCTCATTTGAAACCCGCGGAGACTCTACGGCGCATCACAAACACACACGCTCCCTATGCACGGCTCGTCTGCGACAGCGTGTGCCCTCGTGTACCAGCGTGCATCACAGGGCAGGTTCAACTTCCTAAACATCCTACCTGTCCATCTGCCTCACGTCAGCACGCCGCCCCTCGCCTTTTCACGCTCTCGCTCCTTCCTGCGTACAGCCAACACAAGCCCCTCCCACAGTGCGGCTGATTAGAAGAGCAAGACCAAACGTGAAGCAAAAACCAGTCTAAATTTGTGTTCCAGTGTTGGCACAAAGCAGGTCTACAGCATAGAGCGGATCTACAGAACAGACCTACTGCCACATTTGGCTGAAGTTTGTCTAACAAAAGTGACAAATGCATCTGTGTTTGTCACGATGTGCGTTTGGTTTGGTAAACGTGCAGAGGCTGGTAAATATCACTGCAAAACCAGAAAAGAATGAAACTCCAGTTTGGAACTTTAAAAAACAGGTTTAAAAATCTTCCTTCACTTTTTTCACAGTTTTGTGTAAAGTGCCAGAGGAAGTTCTCTTAAAGAAGAGGTTCTCAAACTGTGGGGGAGGGTCCAAAAAAGGGGCACAGAGTGTTTCAGTGCAGTTTGTTTGGCTTTGTATTAGGTCGATCTTTATGACTTGGTCATTTTGTAAGTAGCTCACATGATGAAAAAGTGTGAGCACCTCTGATCTAGATGGAAGTGAACCAGGCCCTGATGAACCACGGGGGAAATTCACACTGTCCCACACGATCATCAGTGTTGGGGAGTAACAGATTACATGTACTGGAGTTACGTAATCAGAGTACAAATTATGAGGAACTGTATTCAGTTACAGTTACTGTTTCAGTGAGTGGTAATTGGATTACAGTTACTTTGTTGAAATGAATGGATTACATGGCAGGATTTTCCTGTTTTCACATTTTGCGCTATATCCCCCCCATTAAAAAAAAAAAATTCTTGGTAACTCCACTCATTGCCGGAAACTAAACCAGGTCTAAACCAGATCTAAAACCAACTTTAAACTAGATCTAAACTAGATCTAAATTAGATCTAAACCAGGTCTAAACCAGATCTAAAACAGGACTAAAACCAGGACTAAAACAGGATTTAACAGGTTTAAATCCTGCTGTGTGGACGTGTCTCTTCATCTTCTATCAATAATTTTTTTAATACGGTTCAGTAAAGTCTGGACTTTTCATTGTCTTTTAGCAGATAAAACATCTTATGCTACGATATCCTGGTCTTTGTTTCTCTACAGCAAATCAAGTAATCCAAAGTATTCAGATTACGTTACTCACTTTAAGTAATTTAATGGATTACGTTACAAACTACATTTTGGGGTGTGTAATCTGTAATCTGTAGGGGAATATGTTTTAAAAGTCACCTTCCCAACACTGACGATCACATAGTGTGATAGGAAATTCTAATTTCACCTGACTGACAATTACTCTCATGAATTTATCAAATGTTCCAAAAAAATGCTTATATGATGTTCATGGTGTCATATTTTTGACTAATGTTGACAGTTGAACAGACAGTTGTGCAGATGATGACTCAGACGGTGAAATCAGTCTGACATGTTTTGGACAGAACAATCATCAGACTGAGAATCAACTCATCAGTTTAAATCAGCAAGATTTATTTATTTGTAAAATGTGATAAACTTGGGCTCATTGTGCAAACTGTAGATGTGTTGTACAGAACCATGTGCAAAGATTCACTGAGACACTTGCCATTTGATGAAATAAATGAGAAACGTCATTCTATTGTGAACGACTGCGAGGTGGTTTGGAGATTCGTCCATGTTGTTTTGAAAATGTCATTTCTGTTTCAAGAAATGAGCCAAACCAACGGAGAAAAACTGTCTCACAGGTGTTTGGAGAGGCCAGTGAGCAGAACATTACAGTATCTAACCTACTGGAGACAAACACACAGATAAGTCTCTACAAAGTCTGATTTAAACGTTAAAACTTAGATTTTTGCTGATTCATGTGGCTGTTAAAGTTCAAGTCTGAGTTCATTATTACCCAGAGGTTTCTTGTCTGATTTGAAGGTTTTAGAGAGAGACTGGAGCTGACACTGTCTCTTTGTTTCTGTGGACTTGTGTCTTGTCTGAGTTTAGCTGGAGACAGTTGTTGTTGTGTCCAAACACTGATCTGTTGGATGCAGAGGCAGAGTGAGTCCGTGTGTCATTCGTTCATTTGTTTTTCAAAATAAAATAAAAAATAAGAAAATGAAAAAAACAACTGTTTTCTTCATTATTTGTCTCCAAAACCAAAATGAAAAAACAGATAATGATTTGTTTTTTCAGTTTGTGATTTTGTGTTTCAATGAAAAATGGGGAAAATAAAAAAATAAAAAAAAGATAAAGGCCATTTCCGATTTCTGTGACTTAAACTGTGATGCCGGACTAAACCAGGACTAAACCAGGACTAAACCAGGACTAAACTGGTCTCAGTCCTGGTCTCAGTTCCGGTCTGATCCCAGTCTCAATTCCCATCTCAGTCCTGGTCTCAGTCCTGGTTTGGTCCTGGTTTAGTCCTGGTTTATTTCTGGTTTAGACCTGGTTTAGTCCAGGTTTAGTCCTGGTTTAGACCTGGTTTAGTCCTGGTTCAGTCCTGGTTTAGACCTGGTTTAGTCCTGGTTTAGTCCTGGTTCAGTCCTGGTTTAGACCTGGTTTAGTCCTGGTTTAGTCCTGGTTTAGTTCTGGCTTAGACCTGGTTTAGTCCTGGTTTAGTCCTGGTTTAGACCTGGTTTAGACCTGGTTTAGTCCTGGTTTAGACCTGGTTTAGACCTGGTTTAGACTTGGTTTAGACCTGGTTTAGACCTGGTTCAGTCCTGGTTCAGTCCTGGTTTACACCTGGTTTGCTTGTTTTTCATTTTTCATTTAAACACAAAATCAAAAACTGAAAAAAATAATCATTATCAGTTTTTTTTTTTCATTTTGGTTTTGGAGACAAATAATGAAGAAAATTATTGTTGTTTTTTTCGTTTTCTTATTTTTGATTTTATTTTGAAAAACGAATGAACCAATGACACACGGATTCTATCGAGTCCACAGGTCCATGGTCCCCTAATTTTTAAAATAAATTCTAAAATGTAAACTTCTTTTATTTTTTCCAGTTAAATTATTTTATTTTTTCCAGTACCTCTTGATTTTATTGCTGATTTTGTCTCGTAACTTGTGATTCATAAAAATGGCATTCGCACTCTACGTTCCCGTCAGCCCCTGAAAGCAGCACTGATGAGTTCACGGTCTCTTTCTCTGACTCCGCCTCCTTTTTTTTTTTTTTTTTTTTTTTTTTTCTCGCAGCGCAGTGAAAAGCGCAGGCATGTGGCACCTTTGCGTCAGAGCGGCTCGGTTCACGCACGGCACGGCTCGGCACGGGACTCAGCGCGTCTGGACTTTACCTGGAGTTTACGGGATTTCGCCGCGACTTGAAGGTAACTTTTGTTTGACTTTGCGGGATTTGACTCTTAAAACGAGGAGAGAAGAGAAGAGAGAAAAGAGACCGCGTGTTTCAAAACTCTGCCCAGACAGATGGATGGAGAGAGAGAAACAGAGAGAGAGAAATAGTTAAATAACGCTAGAGAGATAGATAGATAGATAGATAGATAGATAGATAGATAGATAGATAGATAGATAGATAGATAGATAGATAGATAGATAGATAGATAGAGATACAGAGAGAAAGTAGAGAGAAAGAGTTCAGACAGAGAGAGTTAAATAACTAGATAGATGGACAGAGAGAGTAGAGAGAGAGAGATATAACTCTAGAGAGAGACAGGGATGAATAGAGAGAGAGAGTTAAATAAAGCTCTGTTATGTGCTTTTACTCTGGCGGATGGATAGAGAGATAGAAAGAGAGACAGAGAGAGAGATAGTTCAATAACACTAGATAGATAGATGATAGACAGACAGCAGAGAGAGAGAAAGAGTTCAATAATACTATAGATATAGAGAGAGACAGAGAGAGAGTTAAATAACTCAATAGATAGAGAGATAACTCTAGAGAGAGACAGAGATGAATAGAGAGAGAGTTAAATAAAGCTCTGTTATGTGCTTTTGCCCTGGCGGATGGATAGAGAGAGAGACAGAAAGAGAGACAGAGAAAGAGATAGTTCAATAACACTAGATAGATAGATAGATAGATAGATAGATGGATAGACAGCAGAGAGAGAGAAAGAGTTCAATAATACTATAGATATAGAGAGAGACAGAGAGAGAGAGAGTTAAATAACTCAATAGATAGAGAGATAACTCTAGAGAGAGAGAGAGTTAAATAAAGCTCTGTTATGTGCTTTTGCTCTGACGGATGGATGGATAGAGAGATAGAAAAGACAGGAGAGAGACAGAGAGAGCGATAGTTCAATAACGCTAGATAGATAGATAGATAGATAGATAGATAGATAGATAACTCTAGAGAGAGAGACGGAGATGACTAGAAAGAGAGGTAAATAACACTAGATAGATAGATAATGCTAGAGAGAGACAGAGATGAATAGAGAGAGAGGTAAATAAAGCTCTGTTCTGTGCTTTTGCTCTGGCGGATGGATGGATAGAGAGATAGAAAGAGAGACAGAGAGAGAGATAGTTCAATACGCTAGATAGATAGATGGGGAGAGAGAGAAAAAGAGAGAGGGAGAGAAAGAATTCAATAACACTATAGATAGAGCGAGACAGAGAGAGTTAAATAACGATAGATAGATAGATAAATAGATAGATAGATAGATAGATAGATAGATAGATAGATAGAGAGAGAGAGAGACAGTAGAGAGAGAGAGTTCAATAACTGGATAGAGAGAGAGAGAATGCAAGAGAGAGACAGATAAATAGAGAGAGAGGTAAATAAAGCTCTGTTATGTGCTTTTGCTCTGGTGGATGGATGGATAGAGAGAGAGACAGAGAGAGAGAAAAAGAGAGAAGGAGAGAAAGAATTCAATAACACTATAGATAGAGAGAGAGAGAGAGAGAGAGAGAGAGAGATAATGCTCGAGATGGAGAGAGAGAGAAATAGAGTTAAATAAAGCTTTGTTATGTGCTTTTGCTCTGGCGGACGGATGGATAGAGAGACAGGAGAGAGAGTTAAATAACGATAGATAGAGAGATAGAGCGATAGAGAGAAAGTAGAGAGAAAGAGTTCAGACAGACAGAGAGAGAGAGAGAGTTACATAACTAGATAGATGGGCAGACAGAGAGTAGAGAGAGAGAGAGAGAGATAACTCTAGAGAGAGACAGATGAATAGAGAGAGAGTTAAATAAAGCTCTGTTATGTGCTTTTACTCTGATAGAGAGAGAGAGAGAGAGTTAAATAACACTAGAGAGATAAATAGAAAAATAGAGAAAGACAGAGAACGCCAGAGAGAGATGGATATAAATAGATAGATGGATAGATAGATAACGCCAGAGAGAAAGAGAGAGAGAGAGAGAGAGAGATAACAGTAGAGAGAGAGATATAAGATAGATGATAAAGAAAGATAGATAGAGAAAGGCAGAGAGAGAGATAAATAACACTAGATAGATAGATAACGCTAGAAAGAGACAGAGATAAATAGAGAGAGTTAAATAACATAGACAGATAGATAGAGAGAGAGATGGAGAAAGTAGAGAGATAGATAGATAGATAGATAACTCTAGAGAGAGAGTTAAATAAAGCTCTATTATGCGCTTTTGCTCTGATAGACAGATAGCACTGGAGAGAGAGAGAGAGAGAGACAGAGTTAAATAACACTAGAGAGATGGATAGAAAAATAGAGAAAGACAGAGAACGCCAGAGAGAGATGGATATAAATAGGTGGATTGATAACTTTAGAGAGAAAGAGAGAGAGAGAGAGAAAGATGATGGCTAGAGAGAGAGAGAGAGAGAGATAGATGATAAAAAATAGATAGACAGATAGATAGAGAAAGGCAGAGAGAGAGAGAATTAAATAACACTATAGAGAGACAGATAAACAGAGAGTTAAATAACACTAGATGGATAGATAGATAGATAGATAGATAGATAGATGGATAGAGAAAGAGTTCAATAATACTAGAGTAATAGAGAGAGACAAACAGAGAGAGAGAGTTAAATAACTTGATAGATAGAGAGAGAGAGAGAGAGAAAGTAGAGAGAGAGTTAAATAAAGCTCTGTTATGTGCTTTTGCTCTGGTGCATGGATGGATGGATAGAGAGATAGAGAGAGAGAGATAACGCTAGAGTGAGACAGAGAGATAAATATAAATAGGTAGAGAGATAGATAACGCTGGAGAGAAAGAGAGAGAAAGAGATGAAAGCGAGAGAGAGAGAGAGAGAGAAAACGCTAGAGCGAGAGAGAGAGATGGGTAGTTGACAGACGGATAGAGATAGATAGATAAATAGATAACGCCAGAGAGAAAGAGAGATGATGGTTAGAGAGAGAGAGAGAGAGAGATAACAGTGGAAAGAGAGAGAGTAGATGATTAAAAAATAGATAGAGTTAAATAACACTATAGATGGATAAATATATAACGCGAGAGAGAGACAGAGATAAACAGAGAGAGACTTAAATAACACTAGATAAATAGATTGATCAATAGATATATAAAGGCAGAGAGAGAGAGTTAAATAACGCTATAGAGCACAGGTGTCAAACATGCGGCCCGGGGGCCAGATGCGGCCCTCCAAGACCTTTAATGTGGCCCCCAGCTGATTTTCTACTAAAATATTTTTATTATATTTTCTATTAAAATATTGTTAAATTTTCTGTGGTGTTTATCATATCAGCGTCTCCAGCGTCTCTGTACGTGGCCCCTCCCACCAGAGCAGCACAAATGAAGACTTGTCTCTTTCCAAACGCTCTTAAAGGACGATCGTTTTGACTGTTGACCGTGACACCCTCATCAGCAAAATGTCCAACATGAGAAAAGTGGAGCCGAGTGCAGGATTTTACAACAAAAATTGACTTATTCCTATTTACATACAAGTTCATGTGAAAACATGTGTTGAAATTAAATTTTTCTTAAAGTTTCAGGTTGTTCATAATTTTATAATATTTTGTAAAAGAAAGAGTTCATCAATTAAAAAATATTTCTGTAATAGATTTGTGTTTCTCTGCACAAATATTTAAACTTATTGTTATTTTTGGGGTTTATATGACATGAGTTTTCTGATCTGGCCCCTTGGGATTAAAGTAGGTTGGATACGGCCCCCGGACCAAAATGAGTTTGACACTCCTGCTATAGAGAGACAGATAGATAACGCTAGAGAGAGAGAGAGAGAGAGAGAGAGAGATAGGTAGATGATAGAGAGACAAAGATAGCGAGAGATAGTTCACACATAGAGATAGATAGATAACGCCAGAGAAAAAGAGAGAAAGGGAGAGATGAAGCTAGAGGGAGGTAGATATAGAAAGATGATAAAGAGATAGATAGATATAGATAGCGAGAGAGTTAGTTGGATAAATAACATGAGAGAGAGAGTTATAGTTAGGGATGGGCATTCGATAAAATTTTCTTAATCGATCGTCGGAAGAATTAACGATCGATTATCGATTAATCATGAACGTTTTTATATTAAAATGATCATCATTATTATTACTATCTGCACTACTAATCTGCATAAATAAATTCAACTTTACGACATATAAACCGTAACGACTCTAGAGCCACATCAGCCCGTTTGACATTATAATGTGTTTAATTCAGTTTTGTTCAAACTCTCACAGAAACTAATCTTAAAACTGCATCGCTAATTTGCATAAACTAAGCGAAGATAAAACTACAGCTCTTGTGTCGCTGATGTGGTTCAACTTCTGTCGGATTAAAAGACATGACTCAGGTGAATACAGGTTAGTGTGACCAGATTTGTGTTTGTCAAAACCAGGACAGCGTACGGGGGGAGGGGGCGGGGCCTCGTCATCCACTTTGAGCGACTCTCACCTGGTAAAACTTTTTCCCACTGGACACAGAAACATATGTGCTGCTTTATACACTGTGCACATGGACTCACACTTGTCCCGACTGGAACAGAAAGTGTGGAATTTCTTGTACAAATCATCGTTAAATACACATTTGTGCTTCGGTTCGTTACAGACTGACCCACTGTTTGTGTCTCGCTCCTTCTGATGCAGAGACACATGTACACACCTGTTTGGTCACGATACACACAGCAACCTACATTCGGTTTGTCGATTAAAATGAATGTAATCGATGAAATTCTTAATGATCAATTATCGATTAATCGACTAATCATGCCCATCTCTAGTTATAGTATTTTAGTATTCACTGATTCAACTTTTTTCTTTCCTACATAATTCCATATCTATCTATAGCTTGCCTCTATAGATAGAGAGATAAATAAATAGATAGAAAAAAGAAAGAAAGAAAAAATAATGCTAGAGAGAAACTCAGATGATATAAAAATAAACAGACAGAGATAACTTTATTGTTTTTATTTATTTTTAAGTCTATCATTAATAATAATAGCTTTCCTTAGCCTTATTGTTGCTTTGCTTGGAATGTTCCACAGTATGACATTAAACAGCTCTACTTTATATGAATTCAATATTGTCATATTTTAGTTTTGGGATTCGTACATCGTAATTGTGTGGTTGTTGGACGTCTTAACAGAGGAAAATGGCTCGAGAAACGGGCTTCGGAAGTTTGCGAAAGTTTGGGAATCAGATGTGTGTGACTGCAAACCTCCGTTCAAACTGTTTCTCTTCACAACGGAATTGAAAAATAGTGAAAGGTGAAGGTGATGGGCAGAATTGATCCACAGGAAGAACCAAAAAGGAAAACTTTGACTGCCTAAGAACTCATCCCGAGTTTGGAGAGAACATTTTATACGTGGAGCGACAACAAAACAAAATCCTGATCCTTTGCTCAGTCTTGGTTATGAATTTAAAAAGTCAACTCCAAAGCGAAAGGCTCCAGCTGTTCACCAAGAAACACCTTCCACTGCAAAGAGACCAAGACGTGATGTTGCTGTAAAACCACAAGAACAAGAAAGTGCAGCTCAGTCTGTTTGTCTTCTGCTCCTCTCCATTAACAAACAGGATTTAGCTTTGTTGTCGCTCCACATACAAAATGTTCACTGCAAACTCGGGATGATTTCTTAGTCAGTCAAATGTTTCCTTTTTGGTTCTTCCTGTGGATCAATCCTGCCCATCACCTTCACCTTTCACTATTTTTCAGTTCCGTTGGGAAGAGAAACAGTTTGAACGGAGGTTTGCAGTCACACACATCTGATTCCTTTTTGCAGTTCTGAAGTTCGCAAACAAATTTCTCGAGCCGTTTTCCTCTGTTAGGATCCAACAACCACACAATTACGACGTCCGAATCCCAAAACTAAAACATGACAATATCAGAACCACAAACAAAAGCGATATGGTTCAAAAGACTTGAAAAAGAAGAAGAAAAACAGACAAAAAGACAACGCTCCTTCAAAAAAAGTTCACGACAAGTGCGATTACAGTTACATACACATTGATCAAATAAAAAAACGTTAAATTTAGATTATTTTGTCAGTCTTAATGATGTGTAATGTTGAGATGATTTGAAAACCTCCTCTTCGCTGTAGCTGGAGGCGTATTTGGTCTTTGTAGTTTTTTTCTTTTGGGCTGCGTCCAAGTCTTTAATCTGAGTGTGGGTGGAGATAGACCAGATGAGTGAGCTCTCCTCGCTTTATAATTTCACCACAATGACAAATAATTATGGACTTTTCCACTGACGGAGCTGCGCAGATGTTGAGCGGAGGCTGCACACAACACTGGGAACAGAAGTGTGACCGTTGTAAAAGTGTCTGAAAGGTCCAATCTTACGCAAAACTGACTCTGGTGAGCTTTTAAATCGTGTTATAATGTTGTTAAACTCGGATTAAACGGAGCTGGAGTTGTGTTTTGTTTCATTCACACATGTTTGACTAATCCTTTATTGTCGGTCCAAAGCTCTAAACGCTCTGTTCCGCCTTGTGATGTCATGAAGAGGTAGTTTTTATGGTTAAACTAACAGCTCTTTTAACTTAAAGGTTGTATGGAGGATTTTTTTTATTTGTTTCAAATTGTCAGTGAAAGTTTAAAATACCATTAGATAGATGCAGCAGCCTTGTAATTATGATGACCAAAAAAAAGAATGAAAATCCATCAACTGTGGACGTGTTGAGGCCAGATAAACATCAGCCACTAGAAAACAAGGCTACCTCATTTTCTATTGGCTGTTAGGTTGTTAATCAAACTCCCTACGTTTCTAGCGTCACTGACTCGCCGGCGCGCGGGGATTCAGAGGTTTACGTTCGCCTCTCACGCACTGATGACATTCACTCGACCAATACAGCGGTTCTTGGGGTCTTTTTCGAAGTGTAGCTTCCTCTCAGTTTGCACAAAGTTTGTTGTAACGGCGGACAAGAATTCACGACCAGTTCATCGAGAATGTAAGTCCGTTTTTGACGTCGCGGAAACAAGAGGAGAAGTGGAAAAGCAGCAAAGCACAACATTTGAAAAAGGACAAACAGTCGCTGCATTTCTCTTTCCTTGGAAAATCTTCTATACAACCTTTAAGTTCAGTAGAGGTTGGTAATAGACGCATCAAGAATCTTGGCCTTCCGGATTTTCCAAAAAAGTGAGCATCAAACCTCCGTGTTTGTTTTCCCAGTGGGATACGTTTAATGTCAAAGTCGATCTTTTCAAGTCTTTTGAACCATATCACTTTTGTTTCTGGTTCTGATATTGTCATATTTTAGTTTTGGGATTCGGACATCGTTAATTGTGTGGTTGTTGGATCCTAACAGCGGAAAACGGCTCGAGAAATTTGTTTGCGAACTCCATAAATGCAAAAGTTAATCAGATGTGTGTGACTGCAAACCTCCGAATTGAAAAATAGTGAAAGGTGAAGGCGATGGGCAGGATTGATCCACAGGAAGAACCAAAAAGGAAACATTTGGCTGCCTCAGAAATCATCCTGAGTTTGCAGAGAACATTTTGTATGTGGAGCGCCCATTTTATATTTATGTTCTAATGTAGTTTCCTCATCACAAACAGACCTGGAGTTGTGTTTTGTTTCTTTCACATATTTAACACATAAACCCTGCACGTTTAGGCTGAGTTCTTCTCCCAGACAGAAAACATCCGGTTCCACCTTGTGATTAAAGTGTGTATGGCAGGTTTTAATGATTCTCAAATTTCTACTTACCGTATTTTCCAGACTATAAGTTGCTCCGGAGTATAAGTCGCACCAGCCAAAAAATGCGCAACGAAGAAGAAAAAAACATATATAAGTTGCACTTTTGGGGGAATTGTAATTTATAAAATCAGAGACCAGAAACCGACATTTCCTGTTGAAAGTCAAGTTCTAGTAAAAACAATAGAAGAGAAAACAACAGACTGTTAACATCACATATGAACAGTTCTTCAGATAAACTATAACATAAACAACAGAACAGAACAAGTTTACCAAACTCTCCATCTCACTCCAAATCACTAAATCCATTCAATTCTTCATCCTCCGTGTCACTTCTGCGCGACCTCCGGAGATAATCCATAGATCCATGAGGTAAACAGAGCGCCTGTTTCCTCTTCTGTGTCGCTGTCGTCAGACTCAGCATCAGTTCCAGTTAGAATTATTCCGGCCTTTCTGAATCCCGACAGGATGGTTTCGGTGTCACTGAAGTCCAGGCTTTGTCCATCCATCCAGTGACTTCAGGAAAGTTTCATGGTGCATCCTCCCGGTTCCCGTGAAGCTGTGTTCTCCATCCTTGCCTTTCACAAGTCCCTCACAAGTTTCTCGCTCACTCCAAACTTTCTTTCTGCTGCTCGATTACAGTTTTCGGCTGAATATTTCAGGACTTTCAGCAGGACAGAGGCTCTTTCTGCAGGAGACATGCGCAGTAGAGCCAAGTGACAGTGGTACAGGAGGAACAGGAGCAGCAGACACTCACACACAAGACTAGAACCTCTCTGAAAATTTTAATATATAAGTCTCATCGGAGTAGAAGTCACAGGAAACACCCAAACCATGAAACAAAGTGTGACTTATAGTCTGAAAAATACGGTAATTTGCTGGGACAATACCTTTTGTACACATAAATTATAGTTTTACACCAATCAAGAAACAAATTGAGAAGAAAAGTTGAAAAATATGTTTAAAATTACCTGAAGTAGAAACATCACAGTCGGAGAATTTTATCCAAAAGTGTGGCACAGTTTACTATATCTATTATTTTCTGATCGTTAAAACGTCAAAATAACAAAATAAAAGTGTTTTCTTCTATTTTTATTTGTCAAAGAATAATTTCTGTTTTGGCCTATAGTGCACGGTTGCTAGGTAACAGTTTTAAACCTAAAAAATGTCCAAACTGGGGAAGAAAATGTCAAGTTTGTATTAAAATCTTAAATATATTGATCTTAAGTGTGTTTTAGTCAAATACACAGGAAGAGCTCCACTGTGTTTTCAAACTCTACACACATTCACTAGAATCTCACCGGAATAGGACCTTTTAAATTGTTTATCGCTATGGCAACGGTCCAGATTTGTCATCCTTCTGTGACGCGTGGCCTGGTGTGAAACGTGATGATTGACAGTGTGTTCCTCTTCTTCTCTCGTTTTCACAGATCCGTCTAAAGATGCCAAACTGGGGCGGAGGAAACAAGTGCGCCTCCTGCAGGGGGACGGTGTATCACGCCGAGGAGGTCCAGTGTGACGGGCTCAGCTTCCACAAGTGCTGCTTCCTCTGCAGTGAGTAGTAGTAGTAGTAGTAGTAGTAGTAGTAGTAGTAGTAGTAGTAGTAGTAGGTAGGATTGGGCGGTATCCAAATTTTGATACCGTGATACCGTCTCAGGAGGTATACTGTATTACCATATAACCAAACACGCGCAGCACTGACTCTGTGTTTGTCAATGGGAAAGACGATCAAACTTGACTGAGGCGTTTAGTCGCTTGTTTCAGGTCCACAGTGAAACTAACAGCTGAACACACTTGTATTTACCTTCTGTACAGACTCACCACAGCAAACACCAGGATTTCAAAAGTACATTTTAAAGCACTAATTAACAGTCGTTCTGGACCTGGGTCTTACACACGACACAGAACTGCTCCAGGAGCACGATGTACTGTTGGTAAACGCACAAATACAGCCAAAGATTCATGCTGTCTGTGTATTTTGACAGGGACATGCAGCTATGCACATAGGATGGATCCTATGTTCTGAAATCTACGCGCGCAGGACGTGCTGCTCCACACACGCGCCGCCCTCATTCACTTTCCATGCATTCTAAAAGTTACGTGTCCCAAAGTTGTAGTTTTTACGCTCGTGTGGGGCGAAATACACACATGCAGTGGAGCCCGGTCCATAATCTCGGAAAAGTTAAAACACGAACTGTTTCCAACGCAACACGCACAGAACAGACTCACTGTCAGCTGCAACATCCTCTGTCACAGAAAAAAACGTACATACAACATTCCACTGAGTCGTGTCCTTCAGTCCAAAAAAAGTTGAACCGCATCAGCAGCACAAGAAGCAGCTGTTTTTATCAGCGCTTACAGTTCATGCAAATTAGCCACGCGGTTTTAAGTTTCGTTCCTGTAAAACATAAAGACATGTGCGCCTGAAGCCAAAACGCTGCCAAATTGCAGAAGTACAAGTATTTATGGGGGAGGACCAACTCTCTTGCAGCCGGACTTGCGTCTTGTCTTTGTCTCCCTTAAGAGCCTCGCGTGAACGTCGTCTCGTCAAACATATAAACACTATTAGTTTTAAATTGTGTTTAAAGCATTAAATTGAAAATACAACCACATATTTTTTTGTGCTGAGCAAACAAATTTAGATATCAGTAAATTATAACATTATATTAGGATCCTTATGAGCTGCAGTTTTTTTTTTTAATGACCGTAATGAAACTAATACTGTTGCTACTTTTTAATACTGTGGGATACCGTAATACTGTATTACAGCCTAACCCTAGTAGTAGGTGATAATAGTAGTAGTACGCTGGATATACAGAAAAATTATAGTAGTAATACAGTGAATATAAACACAAACAGTAGTAGTAGTAGTAGTAGTAGTAGTAGTAGTCACAATGGAATCCAAAGTGTAATTTGAAATGATCCAATTAGTAGTGCAATTAGTAGTGCAATTATATAATAACTGTAATACTACATGTCCTGTGTTATTCTGCTGAAAGCTGCTCAGCCTGTACATCTGGACAAACACGTCTGAAATGTGATTCTTGTGTTAGTTTATCAGCTCAGATTTCAGGTGCACTGTGTAACTTTTTGGCTAAGGGGGGGTTGCTCGGCCTGGAATGTTCCACAGTGTGACTGTAAACAGCTCTTCTTTACTTTTACTCAATTACAGAGGATTTTAAAGCTCAAAAATACTTTAAAAACAGGAATTCTGAATGAGAGCGGGGTCGCCTCTCCGCAGATCTGACCTGTAACTTGGTCTGGTTTGGTTTCTGTGATGATAAAAATGTTAATTTTCATTCATTCATTCATTTTTGTTTGAGCCAGGTACAACAAAACTCAAAAACAATAACAAAAATAGTGATATGTACATGAACATATTTGGGACCTGGTGCTCAAAAGGAGTAGGATGAATAAAAAATCACGTGGTTCACACTTTTTTTTTTTTAATAACACCTTTAAATAACATACATACATATATATACGCATTATAGATATACAGTACATAGACTCAATATAAATGTTTATACACATATGTATAACACACATACACACATGCAGAATCATATTTTCGTTTATGGTCGTACAAACTAATAATAATAATGAAGAAGGCACAAAAGTTTATCGTTTATGATCGTACAAAATAAACAGTAATGAGAAAGAAAATGTAAGTTTTTTGTTTTCGTTTTTGATCGTACAAACTAAGCAGTAATGCGAAAGAAAATGTAAAAGTTTTTTGTTTTCGTTTATGGTCGTACAAAATAAGCAGTAATGAGAAAGAAAATTTAAAAGTTTTTTGTTTTCGTTTATGATCGTACAAAATAAACAGTAATGAGAAAGAAAATTTAAAAGTTTTTTGTTTTCGTTTATGATCGTACAAAATAAGCAGTAATGAGAAAGAAAATTTAAAAGTTTTTTGTTTTCATTTATGGTCGTACAAAATAAACAGTAATGAAAAAGAAAATTTAAAAGTTTTTTGTTTTCGTTTATGATCGTACAAAATAAACAGTAATGAGAAAGAAAATTTAAAAGTTTTTTGTTTTCGTTTATGATCGTACAAAATAAACAGTAATGAAAAAGAAAATTTAAAAGTTTTTTTGTTTTCGTTTATGATCGTACAAAATAAACAGTAATGAGAAAGAAAATTTAAAAGTTTTTTGTTTTCATTTATGGTCGTACAAAATAAACAGTAATGAGAAAGAAAATTTAAAAGTTTTTTGTTTTCGTTTATGATCGTACAAAATAAACAGTAATGAGAAAGAAAATTTAAAAGTTTTTTGTTTTCGTTTATAATCGTACAAAATAAACAGTAATGAGAAAGAAAATTTTAGTTTTTTGTTTTCGTTTATGATCGTACAAAATAAACAGTAATGAGAAAGAAAATTTAAGAGGTATTTGTTTTCGTTTATGATCGTACAAAATAAACAGTAATGAGAAAGAAAATTTAAAAGTTTTTTGTTTTCGTTTATGATCGTACAAAATAAACAGTAATGAGAAAGAAAATTTAAAAGTTTTTTGTTTTCGTTTATGATCGTACAAAATAAACAGTAATGAGAAAGAAAATTTAAAAGTTTTTTGTTTTCGTTTATAATCGTACAAAATAAACAGTAATGAGAAAGAAAATTTTAGTTTTTTGTTTTCGTTTATGATCGTACAAAATAAACAGTAATGAGAAAGAAAATTTAAGAGGTATTTGTTTTCGTTTATGATCGTACAAAATAAACAGTAATGAGAAAGAAAATTTAAAAGTTTTTTGTTTTCGTTTATGATCGTACAAAATAAACAGTAATGAGAAAGAAAATTTAAAAGTTTTTTGTTTTCATTTATGGTCGTACAAAATAAACAGTAATGAGAAAGAAAATTTAAGAGGTTTTTGTTTTTGTTTATGGTCCTACAAACTAATAATATTAATGAAGAAGGCACAAAAGTTTAATGCCACACTGTGAAACATTCCAGCCAAAGCCGTAACATCTCCACGGAGACTTCAAAATGTGCGCTGAATTTCGCATTTTAAGAATATTAAACCGTAAATTCCAAATCTAATGGCGATTTTTACGAATATTTTTCTCAACTCGTTCAACCCGAGAGCCCTCCCTTTCCCGCGTTATTCTCCGTCGAAGTGCCGTAATCCTTGGTCACACATGAACTCCTTCTCACACTCTTCTGTTATGTTTACGTTTGCTCCGGCCTGTGCGCTGAGCCTTGGACGCCCGGCTGCCAAATCCAGGACAAATAAAGTGAACTCAGGTTGACCCCTTCTCAAACGCTTCTCAAACAACGCGAGAAAATGAGAGAAATTAGGAAAAAAAAAGTGTGGTATGTTGGGTTTGCATTATTAGACCAGAATGAAATGCACACAATAATACAGGATTCCCTCTAAAAACTCAAACAAAAGTCACTGTTTCTAGAAGGTTCAGGCTCCGTCATCTGCTTTTTTTTTCTACAGATGTGTCATTTCTCTGCTTGGAATGTTCCACAGTGTGACTTTAAACAGCTCTACTTAACTTTTATTCAATTACAGGTAGTTTTAAAGCGCAAAAATACCTAGAAAAACTGAATTCTGGCTGTGCGCAGCGTCGCCTCTCCACAGATCTGACCTGTAACTTGGTCTGGTTTAGTCGCCGTAAAGACAGAAAGGTTTAACACCAGAAAAGTTACACAATGCACCTGTAAAGGGCCCATGTTAAGGGTGAAGTGTGGTTCTGCATTGACTCGACGCTCACTGTTTCCTTGTCATTTTTGATTTATGGATCATCGAGAAGTACCGTATTTTCTGGACTATTAGTCGCTCTGGATTATAACACAGTCATTAAATGGTCTATTTTTGAACTTTTTTCACACAAAAAACGCACCGGACTTTAAAGGAAACACAACAGTGTGATGGGTGAGTGGTTTTGTTTGTTTGTGGCGTTCACGGTGACTCTGGGCTTTGTTCAGTTGTGGCGTGTAGGGAGGTGCTGTCTGGGACCAACGGATTGTCGGCGTGTTCGCAGTGACTCAGTTGTTCAGTCGTGTCTAGAAGCGGCACATTGCGCTCGCTTTTTCGGTTCGTTCCTCCGTTCCGTTCCTCGTCGGCGTGGAGTGATGAGTGTGTCTGTGTGTTTGTGTGTTCTGCGGGTCGTGTGGCTTTGTAGTTTACTGAAGTCGTGCTGGGACACCTGAGTGGATTCGTGTATGGGGCGCTCTGGATTGTGGGGCGCAGTCGTTTTTTGATTGGGTTAGAGGCTTAAGAGCGCGCCCAAATAGCCCGGAAAATACAGTAATTCGCCGCCACATCTCTAAGAGGCTAGAATATATGTCCATTCATTTAAACGTGTGTCTATGTGTATGACGTGCAGACTTATAATCTCTGAAAAGTTTAACATGAGTCATCTCCAACACAGAACAGACTCACCATCAGCAGAACATCCATCTATCACAGAAAGAACACTTGTATTCCACTGAGTCGTGTTCTTTAGTTCGATTGAAGTTGAACCGCATCAGTGCACAAGGAGCGAGCTGTTTTTTTGAGCTCAGTTTATGCAAATAAGCCATGTGGTTTTAAGTTTCTTTTCTGTAGAGAATGAGAGCTCAGGTGATCTCTCATTCTGTTTGCCTGACGAAGGCCTAGTGCCGGAACATTGCACAGTTTGTCCTAATAAATCTCTTCTTACAAGTAAGACGGTGTGCAGGATTTTTCTCTATGTTCTTGGGCTGCTCCAACGCACCCGTCTCAAGTAACTGATGTGCGAAGTTCTAATTTTTTCAAGTTTCTTTTCTGTAAAACATTAATAAATGTACACAAAGCTGCTTTAAACACATTATTGCTCAATGTATATTGAAAGAAAGGAAAGCAGTGTGCAGGAAATTCGCTGCTATTTGGTCGTGACGTATGTAATGCTTCAAATCCCGTAGGAAGAAGGACAATAACGTCTTTCCCCTTGATAAAATTCACCAAACATTCTCTTTGTTTCGGCTTTAAATCCTCGATCTCGGGAATCGTTGCCAACACAGAATGTCTGTCTTCGTCTACATCCATTTGTTTACTGTTGTGCTGTTCCACAAAAGGGACACAGACAGACGCGACGAGTTTGACGTCACGGTTTCACAGCTCTTCTCTGATTGGTCGGTGCGCGATCTACAACTTTCGCGGTTCTTGCAAACCATCTAGTGTATTCCGATTCCTGACCTAGTCGCTGAAGAGAAATGAAATTGAGCGAACTTTACACAAGAAGTGGTTTAACAAAGACTTTTAGTATCACAGCCACGATTTAGACTTTATTTTTTACTGAAATGAATCGATTTGAAATATATCGTATTGAACCGAAAGTGCACTGTATCGAGGTATGTATCGTATCGGCAACTTCTTAACGATTTCACCAACATTGCTTTGTAAAAATCGCGCCGATCCAGGTCTGAACCAGTATTAAACAAGGATTAGACTAGTCCCAACTGGATCTGAACCAGGACTAATAAGGCTGGGACAAGACGAGATTTTGACATAATTTATAATTTAAAAAAAATTACATTATAACACGGATCAGAAAACGGCATGACCTGAGCGCTTTAAAAAAAACACTAAACCAGGACTAAACTAGTACTAAACCCGAAGACGTGGACGGTGCGCTGTGGGCCGGAGGAGACTGTTTTGAGGCCCAGATCTGGTCCACGGGCCACAAGTTGAATAAGCCTGACATGAACTCATTATATCGCTTTCCAAACATATCCGTCCGGTTTGCAAATGAGAGGCTTTGAGTTCGGCACTGATAGGAAAATTACGCTCCTCTCTCCTCAAACACGCCGCGTTTAGTAAAGATTAAATGATGCTGCGAGCGGCGTAATTTTAGGGCGGGTCTATTGATCTCATTTGTAAGTAATTAAACCCCTAAAGATTAGACGAGCCTCCAAAATCGCTCTTTATTTAGACAACAGAATGTGGTTTTCAACATTTAATCATAGTCATTTTTTTTATTCCCATGTGGTTTTATAGCTGTGTCCAAGTCTAAACCAGGTCTAAACCAGGTCTAAACCAGGTCTAAACCAGGTCTAAACCAGGTCTACACCAGGTCTAAACCAGGTCTAAACCAGGTCTAAACCAGGTCTAAACCAGGTCTAAACCAGGTCTAAACCAAGTCTAAACCAGGTCTAAACCAAGTCTAAACCAGGTCTAACCAGGTCTACACCAGGTCTAAACCAGGTCTAAACCAGGTCTACACCAGGTCTAAACCAGGTCTAAACCAGGTCTACACCAGGTCTAAACCAGGTCTAAACCAGGTCTAAACCAGGTCTAACCAGGTCTAAACCAAGTCTAAACCAGGTCTAAACCAGGTCTAAACCAGGTCTAAACCAGGTCTAAACCAAGTCTAAACCAGGTCTAAACCAAGTCTAAACCAGGTCTAAACCAGGTCTAAACCAGGTCTAAAACCAGGTCTAAACCAGGTCTACACCAGGTCTAAACCAAGTCTAAACCAGGTCTAAACCAAGTCTAAACCAGGTCTAAACCAGGTCTAAAACCAGGTCTAAACCAGTCTAAACCAGTCTAAACCAAGTCTAAACCAGGTCTAAACCAGGTCTAAACAAGGTCTAAACCAGGTCTAAACCAGGTCTAAACCAGGTCTACACCAGGTCTAAACCAAGTCTAAACCAGGTCTAAACCAAGTCTAAACCAGGTCTAAACCAGGTCTACTAGGTCTAAACCAGGTCTAAACCAGGTCTACACCAGGTCTAAACCAAGTCTACACCAGGTCTAAACCAGGTCTAAACCAAGTCTAAACCAGGTCTACACCAGGTCTAAACCAGGTCTAAACCAGGTCTACACCAGGTCTACACCAGGTCTAAACCAGGTCTAAACCAGGTCTACACCAGGTCTACACCAGGTCTAAACCAGGTCTACACCAGGTCTACACCAGGTCTAAACCAGGTCTACCAGGTCTACACCAGGTCTAAACCAGGTCTAAACCAGGTCTACACCAGGTCTAAACCAGGTCTACACCAGGTCTACACCAGGTCTAAACCAGGTCTACACCAGGTCTACACCAGGTCTAAACCAGGTCTACACCAGGTCTAAACCAGGTCTACACCAGGTCTACACCAGGTCTAAACCAGGTCTACACCAGGTCTAAACCAGGTCTACACCAGGTCTACAAACCAGGTCTACACCAGGTCTAAACCAGGTCTACACCAGGTCTACACCAGGTCTACACCAGGTCTAAACCAGGTCTACACCAGGTCTACACCAGGTCCATGGGTGTATCTTCTACTTGTTCTGACTCCGCTCAGGATCTTTCTAAAAACATTCAGGAAAGGTTCATTTCTGTCCTGTGAATGTGACTTTTTCAGTATCAATACCTGCAAAAAATGAGGATCTAGTTTTGATCCTGATGTTTGATCATTTTAACCCCACTGTCCTATATTTGCATTTTAAGGTTTTGGCAACTCAGATTGTGTTGGGTTTGTAGTTCCTTTAAAGCTCTCAAGAGTCAGTTTTAGTACTGGTTTAGTCCTGGTTTAATCTTGGTTTAGACCTGGTTTAATCTCGGTTTAGACCTGGTTTATTCTTGGTTTAGACCTGGTTCAGCCCTGGTTTAGTCCTGGTTTAGCCCTGGTTCAGTCCTGGTTCAGTCCTGGTTCAGTCCTGGTTCAGTCCTGGTTCAGTCCTGGTTTAGACCTGGTTTGTTTCTGGTTTAGACCTGTATTAGACCTGGTTTCGTCCTTGTTTGGTCCTGTTTTTGCTCTGGTTTAATCTTTATCTTTTGTTTTTCAAAGTGGTTTGCAGAAAAGTCCTTGACAGTGCCTCACCTTATCTTTTTATCACAAGAGTCAGTTTTAGTCCTGGTTCAGTCCTGGTTTTGACCTGGTTTAGTCCCGGTATGTTTCTGGTTTAGACCTGTTTTAGTGCTGGTTTAGACCTGGTTTAGACCTTGTTTCTACCTGGTTTTGACCAGGTTTAGACCAGGTTTAGTCCTTGTTTGGTCCTGTTTTTGCTCTATTTTAATCCTTATCTTTTTGTTTTTTTAAAGTGGTTTGCAGAAAAAAACCTTGACAGTGCCTCACCTTATCTTTTTGTTACAAAAGTCTGTTTTAGTCCTGGTTCAGTCCTGGTTCAGTCCTGGTTTAGTCCTGGTTTGTTCGTGATTTAGACCTGGTTTAGACCTGGTTTGTTTCTGGTTTAGACCTGTATTAGTCCTGGTTTAGACCTGGTTTAGTCCTGGTTTAGACCTGGTTTCGTCCTTGTTTGGTCCTGTTTTTACCCTTTAGTCTTTTTGTTTTTTAAATTGGTTTGCAGAAAGAAAAAAAAGAAAAAACTCGACAGTACCTCACCTTTTATTATTTGTCACAAGAGTCAGTTTTAGTCCTGGTTCAGTCCTGGTTCAGTCCTGGTTTAGTCCTGGTTTAGTCCTGGTTCAGTCCTGGTTTAGTCCTGTTTGAACTCTTTTTTAGTCCTTTTCTTCTTGTTTTTCACAGTGGTCTGCAGGAAAGGTCTGGACAGCACCACGTTGGCGATTCACGACCAGGAAATCTACTGCAAGTCCTGCTACGGCAAGAAGTACGGTCCGAAAGGCTACGGCTACGGTCAGGGCGCCGGGACGCTCAACATGGACCGAGGAGAGAGACTGGGCATCAGACAGCCTCAGTGAGTCCACACACGAGTCCAACCAATCTTTACCGTGGTTTTAAAGAGGGCGGGTTTATGTTAGATTGACTTTCTGGAGTTTTTTGTCGGTCAGGTTAAAACTTCTCAAAAACGTGTCTGAAGTGAGTTTAAATGTCGTCCATGCGTGTTTGAGTAATTTAGCGATCTCTCTCTGGTCCTTTTTGAACTCTCCTGACAGTTTAGACCTGGATTAGTCCTGGTTTAGTCATAGTTTAATCCTGGTTTAGTCCTGGTTTAGTTCTGGTTTAGTTCTGAATTAATCCTGGTTTAGTCCTGGTTTAGTTCTGGATTAATCCTGGTTTAGTCCTGGTTTAGTTCTGGATTAATCCTGGTTTAGTCCTGGTTTAGTTCTGGTTTAGTTCTGAATTAATCCTGGTTTAGCTCTGGTTTAGACCTGGTTTAGTCTTGGTGTATTCCTGGGTTTGCCTTTGTTTAGTCCTGGTTTAGTCCTGGTTTAGTTCTGGTTTAGTCCTCCACCAGAAAAGTTACACAATGCATCTTTAAAGCTCATAAGAGGCGGTTTTGTGCAATATAGAACCTTTAATCAAGACTTAACCAAGTTCAAACCAGGACTAAACCAGGACTAAACCAGGATTAAACCAGGACTAAACCAGGACTAAACCAGGACTAAACCAGGTCTAAACCAGGACTAAACCAGGACTGAACCAGGACTAAACCAGGACTAAACCAGGTCTAAACCAGGACTAAACCAGGTTCAAACCAGGTTCAAACCAGGTCTAAAGCAGGTCTATCCCAGGCTCTATTTTGATTCTGTGTGTTTGGGGCCGCCCGGATGGTCCCGGGGCCCGGGGCCCGGTCTGTGTATGTGAGGCTCTTGAATGAGTCTCTTTGTAGCCGGAGCTCGGGCCCCTGCAGTTACATAAGAGCCTCTTTCATAACAATCACCACCTGACAAACATCCAGCCTGCAGTGTGACGGAGCAACCAGGCCTCACTCACTCCACACCAGGCCCCTCTGAGACCTGGTTTAGTCCTGGTTTAGTCCTGGTTTAACCCTGGTTCAGTCCTGGTTCAGTCCTGGTTCAGTCCTGGTTTAACCCTGGTTTAGACCTGGTTTAACCCTGGTTCAGTCCTGGTTCAGTCCTGGTTTAGTCCTGGTTTAGACCTGGTTTAACCCTGGTTCAGTCCTGGTTCAGTCCTGGTTTAACCCTGGTTTAACCCTGGTTTATCCTTGGTTCAATCCTGATTTGGTCATAGTTCAGTCCTGGGTTAAGAATCGTTTAGTCCTGGTTTAACCCTGGATTGGTCATGGTTTAGTCATGGTTTGAACTTAGTTTAGTTCTGGTTGAGTCCTGGTTTAGACCTGGTTTAGCCCTGGATTAGCCCAGTTTTAGTCCAGTTTTAGTCCTGGTTTAGTCCTGGTTCAACCTTGGTTCAGCCCTGGTTTAGTCCTGGTCTAGACCTGGTTTAGTCCTCTTTAAGACCTGGTTTAGTCCTTAGTTCAGCCCTCGTTTAGACCTGGTTTAGTCCTGGTTTAGACCTGGTTTAGTCCTCTTTAAGACCTGGTTTAGTCCTTAGTTCAGCCCTCGTTTAGACCTGGTTTAGTCCTGGTCTAGACCTGGTTTAGTCCTGGTTTAGTCCTGGTCTAGACCTGGTTTAGTCCTCTTTAAGACCTGGTTTAGTCCTTAGTTCAGCCCTCGTTTAGACCTGGTTTAGTCCTGGTTTAGTCCTGGTTTAGTCCTGGTCTAGACCTGGTTTAGTCCTCTTTTAGACCCGGTTTAGTCCTTAGTTCAGCCCTGGTTTAGACCTGGTTTAGTCCTGGTTTAGACCTGGTTTAGTCCAGTTTTATTCCTGATTTAGCCCTGGTTTAACCCCAGTATAGACCTTGTTTAGCTCTGGTTTAGTCCTGGTTTAGACCTGGTTTAGTCCTGGTTTAGACCTGGTTTAGACCTAGTCTATGCCTGGTTTAATTCTGGTTCAGCCCCGGTTTAGCCCTGGTTTAGTCCAGTTTTAGCCCAGTTTTAGTCCTGGCTTAGACTTGGTTTAGTCCTGGCTTAGGCCTGGTTTAGTCCTGGTTTAATCCTGGTTTAGACCTGGTTTAGACCTGGTTTTGTCCTTGGTTTAGACCTGCTTTAGTCCTGGTTCAGCCTTGGTTCAGCCCTGGTTTAGTCCTGGTTTAGTCCTGGTTTAGTTCTGGTCTAGACCTGGTTTAGTCCTGGTCTAGACCTGGTTTAGTCCTCTTTTAGACCTGGCTTAGTTCTTAGTTCAGCCCTGGTTTAGACCTGGTTTAATCCTGATTTAGCCCTGGTTTAGCCCCAGTATAGTCCTTGTTTAGCACTGATTTAGCCCTGCTTTAGTCCTGCTTTAGTCCTGGTTCAGCCTTGGTTCAGCCCTGGTTTAGTCCTTGTTTAGCACTAGTTTAGTCCTGGTTTAGTCCAGTTTTAGCCCAGTTTTAGACCAGGTTTAGTTCTGTTTTTATGGCAGAATCTCTCTGAATAACCCACATTTACTTTAACATAATTCAACTGTAAAATAATTAGACAGTTTTTTTTTCTAACCTCTTCTAAACATATTTTCTCTGTAATTCTCGTTGTACAAATCTTCAAGAAACACGACCGTAAAACTCTGAGGCAACTTTCTCATGATCTCATTCCTGCCCACACAAGCTCTTTATCAAATTTACAGTTTCAACACAAAGATTAATTTCAAAACGGCCTTTTCACATCAGTGCATTTCACATTTTTATAGACTTTTTTTTTTTTTTTTCTGAGTACACGTCAGTCGACTAAATCTGTTCACCACTCGATTCCAAAAATGAATCTAACCACATTTTATTTTCAGTGGACAATTTATAGGAATTTATAGCTTTGGTAAAATGAGAAATAATTGGGAAACATAACTGCTGCTCAGAATTAAATTAGTTTTATTCCAAATTAAAACTCTCATGTAAACGTGGCAGTTTTGGTCTTAAAATGTTTGTATTTTTAAACTGCTCTACATGATTCTGCTTTTTTTTATTTCACGATTTTGTCCATAAGTCAAGATATAAAGATTAATATTCTTTCTCCGGATTGGCTCTTTGTCATGATACTTTTGGTAATAATAAATAAATAATAATAAACAGATACATAACATAACTATTTTACGTTGCTAATCACAAATATAATCTCAAAAAACAAATCTGTCAATCCGAAAAGGAGTCAGGTGAAGCAAACTCTCAGCGGGAATTCCAAATATAGAACTCGGCTCCGAATTAGCCGCTGTAACTGCGAGCCTCGATGAGCTTCATTTGACTCAGCTCCCTCAGTTCACTTTTTTATGTGTCTATTACTTAGGGCAGAAGTGTCAAACTCAAATTCACAGAGGCCAAAATTAAAAACTGGGACTAAGTCGTGGGCCAAACTATATATTTATTGAAAATTTTCTACATCTGCGTGTTTTTTCTTCTTTCGTGATATGTAATGTTAAACCTTTTCTTATTCAAATAAATGTTTATAATAGTTTTGCTTAAACATTGAATCCAGAACAAGCAAAATATAAAATAATAACAAAAATGTTAAATAAATAATGTCTCTATAGTCGATCTGTAGCCAGCGGGCAGCTCTAATACAGATTTAATATGATCTCAGGGGCCAAATATAATTATATCGTGGGCCAAATTTCGCCCCCAGGCCTGAGTTTGACATGTCTGACCTAGGGTGACCGCACGTCCCTGTTTACCGGGACAGTCCCAGTTTTGAGTCCTGTGTCCCCTGTCCGAGTGGATTTGTCCAAAACCACTGATTTGTCCCAGTTTTATACTCAAGTCATTTGTTTATAGAGAAAAGCTGCTTAAAAATGACCAAAAAGAGAGAAAAAGAAAATATGACTTTGCTGTCTCACATTAGTGCTGAGTTTGTGACAGTTTTCCTTATTTACGCACTTGTTTCACAGTTTTACCAACCACCACAAACCAGAGATGTCCTAGTTTTTTATTTTGAAACTCTGGTCACCCTCGTATTACTTAAAGACACATTATGAACTTTTCTGGTGGGGTTGCTCATCTCCATGGTTATTGCTTTGCCTGGAACGTGCCAAAGTTATACGCATGGATCTGTGGTTATAACCATGACAGAACGTGTACGAGGGAGGTAAAAAATAAATAAAATAAAAATCTACTTTGTTTGATACAAGGAATCCAATTCTGATATATTCTTTTTATTTTTGGTCCATTTTTATGTTAAATCTATTATCATAGTCATATTTAACTAATAAAAAACAGGGCTAAACCAGGAGGAAACCAAAACTAGACCAGGACTAAACCAAAACTAAACCAGGACTAAACCAAAACTAAACCAAAAATAAAACGGGACTTAACCAAAACTAAACTAGGACTAAACCAGAACTAAACAGGGATAAACCAGGACTAAACCAGGATAAACCAGGATAAACCAGGACTAAACTAGGACTAAACCAGGACTAAACCAGGATAAACCAGGACTAAACAAAGACTAAACCAGGAGTAAACCAGGGCTAAACCAAGGCTAAATGAAAACTAAACTAGGACTAAACCAGGACTAAACTAGGACTAAACCAGGACTAAACCGGGATTAAACCAGAACTAAACCAGAGCTAAACCAGGACTAAACTAGGACTAAACCAGGACTAAACCAAAACTAAACCAGGACTAAACTAGAACAAAACCAGGACTAAACCAGAGCTAAACTAGGACTAAACCAGGACTAAACTAGGACTAAACCAGGACTAAACCAGGACTAAACTAGGACTAAACCAGGACTAAACCAGGACTAAACCAGAGCTAAACTAGGACTAAACCAGGACTAAACCAGGACTAAACCAAGAATGTTAACAGAAAGGTTTAACACCACACTGTGACACATTCCAGACGCAGTAATAACGTCTCCACGGAGAAAAGCATTTGACGGACCCTTCACCAGAAAAGTGACACAGTTCAGCTTTAATTAAAACTCTGGAGATTAATTGTGTTGTTTTCCTGCAGGACTCAGACTCACAGACCGACCACGAACCCAAACCCGTCTAAATTCGCCCAGAAGTTCGGAGGATCAGAAAAATGCTCTCGATGTGGCGACTCTGTGTACGCAGCAGAGAGGATCATGGGAGCGGGGAAGGTGGGTACAACTCAAAACACAAAAATACAAACTTTTTATAAAAACTTAAATGAGCTTGAACAGAGACTTAACAATGACACATTTTACTAAAACACTGTTAACATCATTATTTTTACAGTTTTTTTTTTACACTTTACACTTTTTATCCCAGTCTGGCCATTTTTTTATTTTTTTTTTTTACATAGAACTATAATAAAATCTGAAGGTGAACCCAAAATGACGTCGTATTGTTTTCAACGCCCTGTGCTCATTGGCTCATGGGCCCAAATAAAATATTCTCCTCCCGCTCGTGTGACGGCGCGGAGCGTTCGGACTAGGCATGATTAGTCGATTAATCGATAATTGATCATTAAGAATTTCATCGATTACGTTCATTTTAATCGACAAACCGAATGTAGGTTGTTGTGTGTAACGTGACCAAACCAATAACTGTAACTGAATACAGTTACTGTAATTGGATTACAGTTACTTTGTAGAAATAAATGGATTACACGGTTTTCACATTTTGGGCTGAACCAGGACTAAAATCGGGACTAAAACCAGGACTAAAACCAGGACTAAACCAGGACTAAACCCAGGACTAAACCAGGACTAAACCAGGACTAAACCAGGTCTAAACCAGGTCTAAACCCAGGACTGAAACGAGGACTAAACCAGGACTAAACCAGGTCTAAACCAGGACTAAACCCAGGTCTAAACCAGGACTAAAATTAGGACTAAACCAGGTCTAAACCAGGACTAAAGCCAGGACTAAACCAGGACTAAAACCAGGACTAAACCCAGGACTAAAAACCAGGAACCCAGGGCTAAACCAGGACTAAACTAGGACTAAACCAGGACTAAACCAGGACTAAACCAGGACTAAACCAGGACTAAACCAGGTCTAAACCAGGTCTAAACCCAGGACTGAAACGAGGACTAAACCAGGACTAAACCAGGACTAAACCAGGACTAAACCAGGTCTAAACCCAGGACTAAACCCAGACTAAACCAGGTCTAAACCAGGTCTAAACCCAGGACTGAAACGAGGACTAAACCAGGACTAAACCAGGTCTAAACCAGGACTAAAACCAGGACTAAAATTAGGACTAAACCAGGTCTAAACCAGGACTAAAACCAGGACTAAACCAGGACTAAACCAGGACTAAACCAGGGCTAAAGACTAGGACTAAAACCAGGACTACAATTAGGACTAAACCAGGTCAAAAACCAGGTCTAAACCAGGACTAAACCAGGACTAAAACAGGACTAAAACAGGACTAAACCAGGGCTAAACCAGGACTAAAACCAGGACTAAAACCAGGGACTAAACCAGGGACTAAAACCAGGACTAAAAACCAGGACTAAACCAGGACTAAACCAGGTCTAAACCAGGACTAAACCAGGACTAAAACCAGGACTAAACCAGGACTAAACCAGGACTAAAGCCAGGACTAAAGACTAGGACTAAAACCAGGACTACAATTAGGACTAAACCAGGTCTAAACCAGGACTAAACCAGGTCTAAACCAGGTCTAAACCAGGACTAAACCAGGACTAAACCAGGACTAAAATTAGGACTAAACCAGGTCTAAACAGTACGACACTAACAGTAGGTGGACATAATTTAAAGCAGCAGTGTCTCATATAAAAAACATTTCTCTGTCAATAATATTAATATTGTTAAGGAAATACTGGGCTTTTTGTGTCTTTTAGCAGATAAAACATCTTCATCTTTTCTTCTCTACAGTAAAACAAAAGTCTGTTCATGGAGATTTGGGCTCAACAGACAATTTGAAGAGAACAAACATGAATTTTCAGGATGTAGTTTTAAAAAGCACGACAATATCAACTAATCCAAAGTATTCAGATTACATTACTCACTTTAAGTAATTTAATAGATTACGTTACAAGATACATTTTGACGTATGTAATCTGTAATCTGTAGGGGATTACATTTTAAAAGTCACCTTCCCAACACTGTCCATACATCATCGCTTCAAATAAAAACTAAACTATTAAACTACTAAAAAGGAACAAAATGCCACAGTTTTCGGTGTCGGCCAAAAGGCAGAAGGCAGACGGTGAATGTGTTTGGACCTTTGGCCGAGTCGGAGGCTTTTGTCTGAGATGAAAAGATGAAATTTGACCCAGGACAGATTTTTTCCTGCTGCGCTCTGCCCCTCTGCTTTTGTGAATCACCTGCTCACACACACACAGTATAAAGCACAGCGGCACAGAAGTCAACTCTTTTAAAATATTGTGAAAAAACATCTTGCTTAAAGGTTGTATGGAGGATTTTTTTTTTGTTTCAAATTGTCAATGAAAGTTTAAAATACCATTACAGAGACGCAGCAGCCTTGTAATTACGATGACCAAAAAAAAAAAGAATGAAAATTTATCAACTGTGGACGTGTTGAGGCCAGATAAACATCAGCCAATAGAAAACGAGGCTGCCTCTTTACCTATTGGCTGTCAGGTCATCAATCAAACTCCCTACGTTTCTAGTGTAATTGACTCGTCGGGATGCAGGGATCACGTGGTTTATGCAGCGGTTCTTAGAGGCTTTTTCAAACTGTCACTTCCTCACAAAGTTTGTTGCGATGGCGGACGAAAATCCACGACCAGTTCGCCGCAAAAGAAAGTCGGTTCTTGAGGTCGCTGAAAGAAGAAGAGAAGGGGAAAAGGAGCGAAGACAAACTGAGGTGATTCTTGGAGATTCCTTCCAGCGATGGCGCGACTGAAGCGGACGAAGGGTCTAAAAACTCGCATGCACAACATTTGTAAAAGAACTGTCGCTGTATTTCTCTTCCCTTAAAAAAATCCTCTATAGAACCTTTAATCCCATATGAAATGGTAAAGCATAAAAGTTCTGTTTTCTGTGATTTGACATAGAGTGAAGAACTTTGGTCATAGCAGCTGTTTTCCTCTAAACACAAAGGTCATCTTGGACTTAAAGGTTGTATAGAGGATTTTTTAAGGGAAGAGAAATACAGCCACAGTCCTTTTTCAAATGTTGTGCATGTGTGACACCACCTTCCTCAGTAGAAACATCTCCTCCCGCCTCCTGACTCTAGAAATCACGCTTGTTTACAGCCGTGCGTGTTCAGAATTACTGTTGAAGTGACCTGTAGAAAGTTTAGAAAGAATTTAGCGACTTTCAGCGACCTCAAAAACGACTTTCTTTTGCGACAAAACGTGGATTCTTTAACAAACTTTGTGCGAATTGCGTAAAAGCTACAGCCTCTAAGAACCGCTGAATAAACCATGTAATCCCAGCGCGCCGATGAGTCAGTTACACTAGAAACATAGGGAGTTCGATTGACAGCCTAACAGCCAATAGAAAATGAGGGAGCCTCGTTTTCTATTGGCTGATGTTTATCTGGCTTCACTACGTCCACAATTTTTTTTTTTTTTGGTCATTATAATTACAAAGCTGCTGTGTCTCTGTAATGGTATTTTAAACTTTCATTGACAGTTTGTTTAAATTTAGATTTTTCATGTACATTTCAGCTTTTTGATGACAATTTGTCAGGCAGATTTTTTTGTCTTTTGGTGTATGTTGAGGATGATATTTGACAGTAGAAATGCAGCGAGCTCCAGAATATTTTTTCTGCTAGTTTCCCCCATGTGTCAGGATACACCATGTAAAATTTTAGACTTATTTGACCATTTATGCAGCTGCAGCACCTTAATATTTCACCAGCAGCTTTTCCTAAATAAGGTGTTTTTTGGTAGACTGATTCATCAGACGGTTTCACTTTGTAGAAACCGTCTGACCTCGCAGCATTAGGATTCATTCACTCAACAGTAGGCGGGATACTTTTTTAATTTAACCAATCACTGCTATTTGGTCGTGACGTTTGTAATGCACTAAATCCCGTAGGAAGAAGGACAATAACGTCTTTCCCCTTGATAAAATTGACCAAACATTCTCTTTGTTCCGGCTTTAAATCCTCAATTTCGGGAATCGTTGCCAACACAGAATGTATGAGTCTTCGTTGATTGGCTGGTGCCCGAACTCGCACTTCCAGGGTTTTTGCGAACCAAAAATGGTACAGAAAAAAAGGTCAACAGTTTCATAAACTAGAGTACATATGTATCTGGTCAATACATTTTTATATCAGATGCATTAACTTGAATTTTTGGCCTTGATGTTTACTTCTGCTTGACCCGGGCCCTTTTTCTACCTTTTATTTTCTTACACTTTTTCTCACAAATTTCCACTTAAAGGTTGTATGGAGGATTTTTTGTTGTTGTTTGTTTCAAATTGTCAGTGAAAGTTTAAAATACCATTACAGAGACGCAGCAGCCTTGTAATTATGATGAGCAAAAAAAAAAATAAATGAATGAAAATCTATCAACTGTGGACATAGTGAAGCCAGATAAACATCAGTCAATAGATAATGAGACCACCTCTTTATCTATTGGCTGTTAGGTTGTCAATCAAACTCCCTACGTTTCTAGCGTAACTGACTCACCGGCGTGTGGGGATTACGTGGTTTATGCAGCGGTTCTTAGAGGCTTTTTCAAACTGTCGCTTCCTCACATTTCGCACAAAGTTTGTCGCGACGGCGGACGAGAATCCCCGACCAGTTCGTGGCAAAAGAAAGTCCTTTTTTGAGGTCGCTGAAAGAAGAAGAGAAGGGGAAAAGGAGCGAAGACAAACCGAGGTGATTCTTGGAGATTCCTTCCAGCGATGGCGCGACTGAAGCCGACGAAGGGTCTAAAAAAATGAAATAAAATATTTCTAGACAGGTCACTTCAACAGTAATTCTGTAAAAAAAGCATGATTTCTAGAGTAAAGAGGCGAGAGGAGGTGTTTCTACTGAAGGAGCTGTGGAGGAGGAAGGTGGTGTTACACATGCACAATATCTAAAAAAGGACTGTCGCTGTATTTCACTTTCATTAAAAAATCCTCTATACAACCTTTAAGTGACGTAAAACTAAATATTTACTACAGGTACTACCAAACAAAAAGTTACACAGTGCACCTTTTAACAAAATAAAAACTAAAACCTAACATTACGTGTTTGACCGGCCCATAAGCGGAGTGGAGCAGTGCGCAGGTCGGCGTTTACATCCGTCCGTTTGGTGATAGGAAAAGTGGAGGGTCAGATAACGAGGTGATGAAGCCGACGTCTGTTCCATGTGGAGCTCATTTGCCTTTGTTTCACTTTATGGTCTATAAAGTTTCAGCTTCCTGTTGCAAAACCGTGATGTAACGCAGCTGGAAATGTGTTTAGAAAATGTACATGTTTCATTAGATACAGGTTTTTTCCCGATGAAGGCCGAGCGCCAAAAAGTTGTTTATGTCCTAATATGTTTCACAATCTGCGAGTAAGACAGAAGTAAGACAGAAGTAAGACAGAAGTAAGACAGAAGTAAGACAGAAGTAAGACGGCGTGTGGGTTTTTCTCTGTGTTCTTTGGCTGCTCCCTCGTCTCCAACACACCCGTTTTAAGAAATGTATGTGCCAAGTTTTATATTAGATACAATAAAAAATAATGCCATGAATTTGTATCTCCATCTGACCTTCTTCTCTTCATCCTCTCCTCCTCTGACCTCCTCTGTTCCTCTAACGCTCTCCTGTTCCTCTGACCTTCTCTTCTGCTCCTCTGCTCCTCTAACCCTCTCCTCTTCATCCTCTGCTCCTCTGACGTTCTCCTCTGCTCCTCTGACATTCTCCTCCTCATCCTCTTCATCGTCTCCTCTGCTCCATCTGACCCTCTCCTCTTCATCCTTTGTTCCTCTAACCCTCTCCCCTTCCTCTGACCTTCTCCTCTGCTCCATCTGACCCTCTCCTCTTCATCCTCTGCTCCTCTCACCCTCACCTCCTCTGACCTTCATCCTCTGCTCCTCTGCTCCTCTCCCCTCTCCTCCTCTGACCCTCTCCTCTTCCTCCTCTGACCTCCTCTGTTCCTCTAACTCTCTCCCCTTCCTCTTGACCTTCTCTTCTGCTCCTCTGCTCCTCTAACCCTCTCCTCTTCATCCTCTCTCCTCTGACCTCCTCTGCTCCTCTGACATTCTCCTCCTCATCCTCTTCATCGTCTCCTCTGCTCCATCTAACCCTCTTCATCCTTTGTTCCTCTAACCCTCTCCCCTTCCTCTGACCTTCTCCTCTGCTCCATCTGACCCTCTCCTCTTCATCCTCTGCTCCTCTCACCCTCACCTCCTCTGACCTTCATCCTCTGCTCCTCTGCTCCTCTCACCCTCTCCTCCTCTGACCCTCTCCTCTCCTCCTCTGACCTCCTCTGTTCCTCTAACTCTCTCCTGTTCCTCTGACCTTCTCCTCTACTCCTTTGCTCCTCTAACGCTTTCCACTGCTCCATCTGACCCTCTCCTCTTCATCCTCTGCTCCTCTGACCTTCTCTTCTGCTCCTCTGACATTCTCCTCCTCATCCTCTTCATCGTCTCCTCGGCTCCTTTGGTCTCCTCTGCTCCATCTAACGCTCTCTTCATCCTCTGCTCCTCTGACCCTCTCCTCTCCTCCTCTGACCTCCTTTGTTCCTCTAACTCTCTCCTGTTCCTCTGACCTTCTCCTCTACTCTTTGCTCCTCTAACCTTTCCTCTGCTCCATCTGACCTCTCCTCTGTTCCTCTAACCTTCTCCTCTGCTCTTCTGACCTTCTCCTCTCCTCCTCTGACTCCTCTGTTCCTCTCTAACTCCTCCTGTTCCTCTGACCTTCTCCTCTGCTCTTCTGACCTTCTCCGCTGCTTCTCTGTTCCTCTAACCCTCTCCCCTTCCTCTTACATTCTCCTCTGCTCCTCTGACCCTCTCCTCCTCATCCTCTTCATCGTCTCCTCTGACCTCCTCTGCTCCATCTAACGCTCTCCTCTTCATCCTCTGCCCTTCATCCTCTGACCTCCTCTGTTCCTCTAACGCTCTCCTGTTCTCTGACCTTCTCCTCTACTCTGCTCCTCTGCTCCTCTCACCCTCTCCTCTTCATCCTCTGCTCCTCTGACCTTCTCCTCTTCATCCTCTGCTCCTCTGACCTTCTCCTCTTCATCCTCTTCTCCTCTCACCCTCTCCTCTGCTCTCTCAAACCTTTTCGAACCAGTTTTATTATTGCGATACCTCGAGCGTAAATGTGCATTTCTTTACTTTTTAAACTACATCGTTTTTGTCTTAAACCTAAATTCTAACTTAACCTAATTTTCTTTTTTCTCTCCAGCCCTGGCATAAAAACTGCTTCCGTTGCGCTAAATGTGGGAAGAGCCTGGAGTCCACCACGCAGACGGAGAAGGATGGAGAGATCTACTGCAAAGGTACAGTCCAGCTCAGGAGTGACCAGACACGGCGTCAAAACAGAGACGAGACGAGAGATGTAACAATAAATGAACGTGTTTCTTGTTGTTTTCCATTTAAAGGTTGTATGGAGGATTTTTTTTTGTTTCAAGTTGTCAATGATAGATTATAGATGCAGTAGCCTTGTAATTATGATGACCAAAAAAAAGAGAATAAAAATTCATCAACTCTGGACGTGGTGGGGCTAAACATTTGCCAATAGATAACGACACTGCCTCGTTATCTGTGAGCTGACAGGCTGTCAATCAAACTCCCTACGTTTCTAGTGTAACTGACTTGCCTGCGCCGCCGGTACGTGGTTTACGTACGACTGTCACGCAGTCCACAGACGCAAGACGCACAGACGCTGTTTACTCCACCAACGCAACAGTTCTTAGCGGCTTTTTTTTGACCTATATATCTTCCTCGCAGTTCAGCACAAAGTTTGTTGCAATGGCGACAAGAATCCAGGAGCAGTTCGCTGCAAAAGAAAGTCCTGTTTTTGAGGTCGCTGAAAGAAGAAGACAAGGGGAAAAGCAGCGAAGCCAAACTAAGGTGATTCTTGTAGATTCATTCCAGCGATGGCGCGACTGAAGCAGACGCAGGGTCTAAAGACTGACGCACTGGTCCACAAATTACTCCTGGACAGGAAACTTCTGCTTATTATGAAAACGTACTTTATTTCCAAGAGTTAGACAAACGTTTTTCAGGACACGAAAGCGATATCCTATGTCTGAAAACGTAATTTTCAAGGCAAAGAAAGAGTCCGCTTGCTGCTGCGTGTTGTAGCTAGTTCATTCGCACTGAATCTCCGCGCACTCTTCTCTGCTCCCCTTTCCTGCTCCTTCTCCCGCTGCCCGATCCGCTCTTCCCCTGCTCCTCACTTCTCCGGGCACGGAATCTCCGTGCACCCGCTCCCCTCTCCTCTCCTCTCTCTCCTCTCCTCTCCTCTCCCTGCTCCTCACTTCTTGTCCGCGCACGAAATGTCCGCGCACCCCCTCCCCCCGCTCCTCACTTCTCCGTCTTGCCTAACCAACACTGTAGTTAGTTGTTTACAAGTCATGTGCAGCACCGGCTGTAAACAAACCTGTTTCTGGCGTAAGGAGGAGGCGGGAGGAGGCGTTTCTACGTAGGAGCTGTAGGGGAGGGGGGGGTGGTTTCACACATGCGCAACATTTGAAAAAGGACAAACAGTCGCTGGATTTCTCGTTCCTTGGAAAATCCTCTATACAACCTTTAAACCTCAATTTGGAATTATTATCTCCATGTAAACTCACCAAATTTACCTCGTTTGTACAAAAATGGCAAAAAAAAAACGTGTAAATCGACTTTAAATTCGCATATTCGCTTTCACTCAAACACGTGGAGCGATGTGACCCACGTTTGACCCACATCCGAGCAGACAGAAGTTAACATCTGGAGGTCTGAAAGCTTCGCCGATGAGACACAGTTTGAAGCATCTGTGTTCAATAAAAGACAAACTCGGAGTGAGCTACGGCCCGGACGGCTCGCGGACGCTCCCACTCCACAACTCACAACAGATTACTCAGCATCCACCACAAATTACTCCAGAAAATCTCGGTTTTACAAAGAACCAAGACTGAACCTGGTCTAAAACAGGACTTCATTACTTATTTATATTTTATCACATTGTTATTATCAGTAACAGATGTAATAGTAGTACGATAATTATGATAATTATGATAATAGTTGTAGTAATTATTCTTAGACTTAAACTTTATTGATCCACAAGGGAAATTATTTGGACACAGTAGCTCACACGTCACAATAAATATAATAACAAAAAGTAAAAAAAAATATAAATGATAATAATAAATTCTATATAAGTAGCTAAAATATATAAATGTATATGAACAAGTCAAAATAAAAGAGAAATATAAGTAATAAAATAAAATAATGAAATATAATTATAAAGTGATGGCGACAGTAATGATATTGTTGTTATTGTGATATTGTTTCTGTTTTTGTGCATTTTATTAATAGTTTTTACATATTTTCATTTGATTGGATTTTATTTTAATATTTTTTCTTTCTTTTTTTAATAATATTTTTTATTTATTGTTTTCCAGAAAAGATGAACTGGAACTATGTTTTCTAAATTGTAAATCGTAAATCGTATATAAACCCTTAAAAATTATGCTCAGGAACGATTTTCTTATATGATTTTTCTCCAAAAACCAAAATGAAAAAACAGATAACAATTTTTTTTTTTTTTTTTAGTTTTCGATTTTGTGTTTCGATTTTCTGCAATGCCGGACTGAACCAGGACTGAACCAGGACTAAAACAGGACTAAGCCGGTCTCAGCTCCAGTCTCAGTCCTGGTTCAGTCCCGATCACCCGACACACATGCACCTCCGGGCCCGTCACGACACTCCTGGTTCAGTCCTGGTTTAGTCCTGGTTCAGTCCTGGTTTAGTCCTGGTTCAGTCCTGGTTAGTCCTGGTTTAGTCCTGGTTTAGTCCTGGTTCAGTCCTGGTTCAGTCTGGTTTAGTCCTGGTTCAGTCCTGGTTTCCGGTTCAGTCCTGGTTTAGTCCCGGTTTAGTCCTGGTTTAGTCCCGGTTTAATCCTGGTTCAGTCCTGGTTTAGTCCTGGTTCAGTCCCGTTTAGTCCTGGTTCAGTCCCGGTTTAGTCCTGGTTCAGTCCGGTTTAGTCCCGGTTCAGTCCTCCCGGTCAGTCCCGGTTTAATCCCGGTTCAGTCCGGTTTAGTCCCGGTTCAGTCCCGGTTTAATCCGGTTCAGTCCTTTAGTCCCCGGTTCAGTCCTGGTTTAATCCTGGTTCAGTCCTGGTTTAGTCCTGGTTCAGTCCTGGTTTAGTCCTGGTTCAGTCCTGGTTTAGTCCCTGGTTCAGTCCTGGTTTAGTCCTGGTTCAGTCCTGGTTTAATCCTGGTTCAGTCCTGGTTCAGTCCTGGTTTAGTCCTGGTTCAGTTCTGGTTTAGGACTGAGACCGAGACCAGGAACAAGACCGCTACTGAGACTGGGACCAGACCAGGACCAGACCAGGATCAGGACCGAGACCGGTATTGACACCGTGATTGAGACCGGGACTTAGACTGGTTTCAGTCCTGATTTAGTCCTGATTTAGTCCTGATTTAGTCCTGGCTTTGCAGTTTAAGTCACTGAAATGGGAAACAGTCATTATCAGTTTTTTTCCATTATTCCATTTTTCATTTAATCTCAAAATAGAAAACCGAAAAAACAAATCATTATCTGTTTTTCCATTTTAATTTTGGAGACAAATAATGAAGAAAATCGTTGTTGTTGTTTTTTTTTTCCATTTTCTTATTTTTGATTTTATTTTGAAAAACGAATGAGCGAACGACACACAGATTAATAAATTACAGGCAAAATAAAATAATCTGAGAAAGAAAACTATATATTTATGGATCTGTGGCAGCACCTTGACACTTTACCACCAAAAAAAAAAAAAAAAAAAAAAAAACAACAATGTACAATAAACTATAATTCTATTTTTTTTTTTTTTCCAAGTATTTTTTATTAATTTTCAGACAATAAAAATTCCATCTGAACAACTGACCACGTTAACACAGGTCAACATATAACCCAAAAAAAAATAAAATAAAAAAATAAAATAAATAAATAATAATAATAATAATAATAATAATAAAATGAATAAATAAAATACAATTAAGATAATGATGATAATAATAACAAATAACTAATTCCACACTCTCACACACTCATACACATTCACACATTTATAATTCTATTTTAGCGCTCTGTTAAAAGTGTCTCGCGTTCCATAGACAGAATATTTTGTTAATTTCTATGGCGACCGTGTCAATTTTTTGTGATTCTGAAACTAATGATGTTACCTCTGGTCTTTTCCACAGCCTGCTACGCCAAGAACTTCGGCCCCAAAGGATTCGGGTACGGCCAAGGCGCCGGGGCTCTGGTCCACGCTCAGTGATCCGCCTCCGCCTCCGTCACGCGCCGCAGAAATAAATCTATATATATTTTATTTACATTTCAATCAAACCTGTTTTGTTAAAAGTTCTATATTTCTGATTTAAAAAACGTACCTGGAGTTGTTTTGTAGTGGAAGAAGTGTTCGTTTTGTTGCTTAAAGGTGCACGGTGTAACTTTTCTGGCGGTTTTAGAGCTCGAAAATACGTAGAAAAACAGGCAAACTGAGAATTTTTCTGATGTGGTCGAGGTTTTAAAACGTGTATCGGGTTATTTGTCTTGTTTTCAGATTTATTTATAACTTGTCGATAAAATGATCTGGCTGCACGGACAGAGAATTTCACAAATTTTAAGTCATTTTCTGATAGATTTAAATGTTTAGATCTTAATTTTTTTGATTCAGGTTTAGAGCTGATTTAGTCCTGGTTTAGTCCTGATTTAGTCCTGGTTTAGTCCTGATTTAGTCCTGTTTTAGTCCTGGTTTAGATCTGGTTTAGTCCTGTTTTAGTCCTGGTTTGGAACTGATTTAGTCCTGGTTTAGAACTGATCTAGTCCTGTTTTAGTCCTGGTTTAGATCTGGTTTAGTCCTGGTTTAGTCCTGTTTTAGTCCTGGTTTAGATCTGGTTTAGTCCTGGTTTAGTCCTGGTTTAGTCCTGATTTAGTCCTGGTTTAGTCCTGATTTAGTCCTGGTTTGGAACTGATTTAGTCCTGGTTTAGAACTGATCTAGTCCTGTTTTAGTCCTGGTTTAGTCCTGGTTTAGTCCCGGTTTAGTCCTCGTTTAGTCCCGGTTTAGTCCTGGTTTAGTCCCGGTTTAATCCTGATTTAGACCTGATTTAGTCCTGGTTTAATCCTGATTTAGTCCTGGTTTAGTCCTGATTTAGTCCTGGTTTAGAACTGATCTAGTCCTGTTTTAGTCCTGGTTTAGTCCCGGTTTAGTCCTGATTTAGACCTGATTTAGTCCTGGTTTAGATCTCATTTAGTCCTGATTTAGTCCTGGTTTAGATCTCATTTAGTCCTGGTTTAGTCCTGGTTTAGTCCCGGTTTAGTCCTCGTTTAGTCCCGGTTTAGTCCTGGTTTAGTCCCGGTTTAATCCTGATTTAGACCTGATTTAGTCCTGGTTTAATCCTGATTTAGTCCTGGTTTTTAGATTTTAGTCCTGATTTAGACCTGATTTAGTCCTGGTTTAGATCTCATTTAGTCCTGGTTTAGTCCTGGTTTAGTCCCGGTTTAGTCCTTGTTTAGTCCCGGTTTAGTCCTGGTTTAGTCCCGGTTTAATCCTGATTTAGACCTGATTTAGTCCTGGTTTAATCCTGATTTAGTCCTGGTTTAGTCCTGGTTTAGATTTAAGCATTTCTATCTTAAATTGTGGCCAAGCTTTTGTTGCTGTGTATTCTGACTGTGAGCGGGCTCTCCTCTCCACAGACCTGACCTGTAACTTGCCTTAATTTTGTGTAATAATTTTAATTTTTTAGTTTGTGATGGACTTGTGTAAAACTGAAAACTGTGATCAGAATAAACGAGTCCAGACGTTTCACATTTGACTTTGTTTTTATTAAGAAAGACGTTCAAATGAGCCGTGCTCGTACGTGGACGTCTGAAGCCGAGTGCAGTGACCTGAGGCGGCGGACGACCTGGAAACGGATGATGTGTTTTATTTTGAAAGGTTTATATGATCTCGTGTTTCCGTGGAGTGGGCGGGGCCTTCTCTGGAGCGGAAAAGGACCGACGACGATCGGAAGAACGAGTCACCGCTCGAACCCGACGATGTGAAATTTACAGCCGTGTTCGAGCGAGTTGGCGAGAGGTTCTCACGGTCATGGAAATCCTGGAAAAGTCATGGAATTTGAGTGTCTTTTTCACAAAACTGCAGCTGATTTAGTCCTGGTTTAGTCCTGGTTTAGAACTGATTTAGTCCTGGTTTAGTCCTAGTTTAGTCCTGGTTTAGTCCTAGTTTAGAACTGATTTAGTCCTGGTTTAGTCCTGATTTAGTCCTGGTTTAGTCCTGATTTAGTCCTAGTTAAGTCCTGGTTCAGTCCTGGTTCAGTCCTGGTTTAGTCCTGGTTTAGTCCTGGTTCAGTCCTGGTTCAGTCCTGGTTTAGTCCTGGTTTAATGCTGATTTAGTCCTGGTTTAGTCCTGGTTTAGTCCTAGTTTAGTCCTGGTTTAGTCCTGGTTTAGTCCTAGTTTAGAACTGATTTAGTCCTGGTTTAGTCCTGATTTAGTCCTGGTTTAGTCCTGATTTAGTCCTAGTTTAGAACTGATTTAGTCCTGGTTTAGTCCTGATTTAGTCCTGATTTAGTCCTAGTTTAGTCCTGGTTCAGTCCTGGTTCAGTCCTGGTTTAGTCCTGGTTTAGTCCTAGTTTAGTCCTGGTTTAGTCCTAGTTTAGAACTGATTTAGTCCTGGTTTAGTCCTGATTTAGTCCTGGTTAAGTCCTGATTTAGTCCTAGTTTAGTCCTGGTTTAGTCCTAGTTTAGAACTGATTTAGTCCTGGTTTAGTCCTGGTTTAGTCCTGGTTCAGTCCTGGTTCAGTCCTGGTTTAGTCCTGGTTTAGTCCTAGTCCTAGTTTAGTCCTGGTTTAGTCCTAGTTTAGAAGTCCTGATTTAGTCCTGGTTAAGTCCTGATTTAGTCCTGGTTAAGTCCTGATTTAGTCCTAGTTTAGTCCTGGTTTAGTCCTAGTTTAGAACTGATTTAGTCCTGGTTTAGTCCTGGTTTAAAGCCGATTTAGTCCTGGTTTAGTCCTGGTTTAAAGCCGATTTAGTCCTGGTTTAGTCCTGGTTTAAAGAAAGGTTTAATGCCACACTGTGAAACATTCCAGACAAAGCAACGTCAAACGTCTCTACGAAGAAAAGCGTTTGACAGAAACTCCACCTGAAAAGTTACACAAGTTTCAGACTTTTAACTTTACGACGGAGAATCAGGGTCAGATAAAAAAAAATAAAAAATAAATGCTGGCGCTTCGAGAACAAAGTTGTAACATTTTAACATTAAAGTCGTAATATTATGAGAATAAAGTTATAATAAAATCAAAGTCAAAGTGAAAAATGAGCCAGAAGAACCTTGTTTTTCAATATAAAACCAAAAATAAGAAAATGAACAACAATTTTCTTCATTATTTGTGCCTCTGGACTAAACCAGGACTAAACCAGGACTAAACCAAGACTAAACCAGGACTGAACCAGGACTAAACCAGGACTAAACCAGGACTAAACCAGGACTAAACCAGGACTAAACCAGGACTGAACCAGGACTGAACCAGGACTAAACCAAGACTAAACCAAGACTAAACCAGAATTAAACCAAACCAGGACTGAACCAGGACTAAACCAGGACTAAAACCAGGACTGAACCAGGACTGAACCAGGACTAAACCAGGACTGAACCAGGACTAAACCAGGACTAAACCAGGACTAAACCAGGACTAAAACCAGGACTGAACCAGGACTGAACCAGGACTAAACCAGGACTGAACCAGGACTAAACCAGGACTGAACCAGGACTAAACCAGGACTAAACCAGGACTGAACCAGGACTGAACCAGGACTAAACCAGGACTAAACCAGGACTGAACCAGGACTAAACCAGGACTAAACCAGGACTAAACGAGGTCCGAGACCAGACCGGGACTGAGACCAGGACTTAGACAAGGACTGAGTCAGGGACCAAGACTGAGACCGGGATCAGACAATAACTGAGACCAGGATTGAGACCGGGAACAGGACCAGGACTGAGACTGGGACTGAAACCGGGACCAGACCAGGACTGAAAACGGTTTAGTCCTGGTTTAGTCCCGATTCAGTCCCGATTCAGTCCTGGTTCAGTCCTGGTTCAGTCCCGGTTCAGTCCTGGTTTAGTGTTGGTTCAGTCCTGGTTCAGTCCTGGTTCAGTCCTGGTTCAGTCCTGGTTTAGTCTTGGTTCAGTCCGTATGCGGCGCATTAGTCCAGCATCGCATTTTAAAGTCACAGAAACGCCATTTAGCATTTCCGTGACTTAAACCAGGACTAAACCAGGACTAAACCGTTTTCAGTCCTGGTCTGGCCCCGGCCTCAGTCCTGGTCTGGTCCCGGTCTCAATCCTGGTCTTTCTGGTTTGGTTCTGGACCTGATTCAGTCCTGATTCAGTTCTTGTTCAGTCGAATGAACGAATGATCCACGGATTCTTCTCCTTTACAAAATGCTCCAAATTCTCCATTCTCCACTCGTTCAGACTTTCCGAGCGGCCGATATTCTCATAATATTACGACTTTATTTTGACTACGACTTTATTCTCGTAGCGACAGCATCTTTTTATTTGACCCTTATACTCTGTCGTACAACATAATTTTTTGTAAGTCTATGGGAAAAAATAATGGAAAATTATTTGCTTCCAGAACCAGGAGTCACTGTTGAGCTCCGTATTTTAATAAACAAACCCCCGCGCCTCCTTAAAACTATCGCACGATCACGTTTCAGCTTTAGAAAAACAAAAACGACGTCCGCCTCGAGTCTTTACACTTTGTACATCCGGTGGTAGAACAAACCCGGCGACTCACGAGAAGAAAAAAGAAAGGAACATTTAAAGGGACACGGGATTATTTTTGACACTGTGCGTCTGTGAAATACACGGAATAAGCCACATTTTCCATCATTTTTTAAATCATTGTCAACACTGTCTGGGTTTGAAGGAGCAGACACAAAAAAAGCAGAAAAAATGGCAAATTTCTAACCACAAATTTGTGTTTTTTTGCTTGTTTTAGTTTTTTTTTGTTACAATTTCAAAGGCGTTTTTTACCCCAGATATACTGTATGAGCAGCTCTTAAAGGTGCATTGTGTAACTTTTTAATTCGGGGTCCGTCACCTGCTCGTTTCTACGGATACGTAATTTCTCTGCCCACAATGTTCCGCAGTGTGACATTAAACAGCTCTACTTTACGTTTATTAAATTATACGTGGTTTTATAGCTCAAAAATACCTCGAAAAACAGACATTCTGACTGTGAGCGGGGTCGCCTCTCCACAGATCTGACCTGTAGCTTGGTCTGGTTTGGTCTCCATGGAGATAGAAAGGTTTAATGCCAGACTGTGGAACATTCCACACAAAGCGATAACAGAAAAACATTTGACGGAGCCTCCAGCACAAAGGTTTTTTCTTAAGATTTTGCTAAATATTGTATAATTCTTTTCCCACTTTGGCTGTTTTTTGGGGTTAGAAATTTGACTTAAATCTCCCCTACGTACAAAGAAATTATTATTTAACACATAAAAGTAGAAGAAAACTTGTTTATTTTGTTGAAAGTATCAGGAAAATGTGGTTCTTGCGTGGAAATTGTGTTGAACTTTTGGATATAATTCTCCCAGTGTCATGTCAACAACGCTCAATTTCATTTCTCTCCAGCGACTAGATCAGGAATCAGAATCCACTCGACCAGGGGTGTCAAACTTTTTTCATCAAGGGCCACATTTCTACACACAGACGAAGCAGAGGGCCGTAGACTGGTGCTCAGTACAGTGAATAATTGAAATCTGTGCATGTTTAACACGTTAGAATGATCCATCAGACTTTATTCACTCTAAAATCCTCAAAACCACACATTAAATCTTCAATATTGGCTTCATCAAAGTAGATTTTCAAAAAACTTGCAGCAAAAAGTTCGTTTTTAATTGATGGAAGGTCATTTGGGCCAAATCCGCTGTGAGCTGTGAAGTCATGACGTCAAACTCGTCGCGTCTGTCTGTGTCCCTTTTGTGGAACAGCACAACAGTAAACAAAGCGTCGAGATGGATGTAGACGAAGACAGACATTCTGTGTTGGCAACGATTCCCGAGATCGAGGATTTAAAGCCGGAACAAAGAGAATGTTTGGTGAATTTTATCAAGAGGAAAAGACGTTATTGTCCTTCTTCCTACAGGATTCGGTGCATTACAAACGTCACGACCAAATAACAGCGACTGGTTAAATAAAAAAAGTTTAAAGCGCCTATGACAGGTTTTCTAAAACATTTTCATTTTACTAAAAACACATGTAAGATTGTGTTCAGACTGCAGCCTGAAGTGACCCAAATCCGATTTTTTGTCTCTATGTTCCTGTATCTGATCTTTTAATGTCAGTCTGAACGACACAGATCAGATTTTTTCAAATGTGACCCAGGACACTTGGATAT